TGCACTTAGGATGCTTCCATATTTTAGCAATTATAAATTATGTTGCTGTTAATAGTAGGGTGTATGTATCTCTTTGAATTAATTCTTATTTTGTGGTTGGCTTTATTCCTTTGATAACTATATAAGTTTAAAAAGCTAAAGCTCTAAATATTCTTAGAAACAATGAACAGTACATGTATATTAAGTTAAAAAAATACATGCAGTATATTTTGTATATGGGATTTCCATGCAAATTTATTCTATATGTGCAGTCAAATTATAACAATTCTACCTAATAAAACTAAAAACTGAAAAAAATAAACAAAAACCTACTGTATAGGACAGGGGACTATATACAATCTTTTGCACTAACATATAATGGAAAAGAATCTGAAAAGAATATGTATGTATGTATGTATGTATATATGTATATGTATAACTGAATCATTTTGCTGTACACCTGAAACTAATTGCAAATCAACTACACTTATATAAAAAAAATTAAGAAGAAGAAGAAGAAGAAGGAGAAGAAGGAGAAGAAGGAAGAAGAAGAAGGAAGAAGAAGAAAGAAGAAGAAGAAGCAGAAGAAGCAGAAGAAGAAGGAAAGGGGAAGGGGAAGGAGAAGGTGAGGGAGGAGAAGAAGAAGGAGAAGAAGGAGAAGAAGGAGAAGAAAGGAGAAGGAGAAGAAGAAGAAAAAAAAAAAAGCAACCCAAAAAAATCAACCTTCAAAAACTTGAGGAAACCTGAAGCGCCCAGACTGGCTGTTTTCTCTGGCTGGATCCACACACTGTCATCCAGCTTCAGTGCTAGCCCAGACTCTGAAACTCTCATACGTATTTGTTGTTCAAACACAACAATGAGCAATGAATGGGAACTGACTATTCCATGTTCACAAACAGGTCAGTGCCAGACATTATGAACTAACAAATTGTGTGAGGCCACCAGACTCCAATACAGTTTTAGAGCAGGACTATTCACTCACTGCAGGCAAAGGCATCATCACTGTCAAACGTTATCCGAATCCAAAAAGTACACAAACTGTATCAGGAAGTTCTTCCACATAGTCAGCCAAAGATATAATCTACCAAAATACAACCTGTCACTACAGAGGATCAGGAAACCCAATGACTTTTGCCCCATTTATGCACCAAGAAATGTACTGCTGTCTTTCAGTTCCTCTTACTTACTTATTACACCCACCATCACTCTAGATTTTCAGAAGCAAACCTTTCTTTAAATACCTATATAATAAATCTTATTTATTTAAAATGTAACTTTTTCTCTCCTCCAGTACCCTCTGACTTCCTCGATAAACTAATTTTCATGGTGCTGACTTGTTTCCAAACAACCACTCAGGTTAGAATCAAACATCATCATTTTAGTCAAAATGGTCTGTATGTCTGATGCTACTGTTTGCATTTAATCAAATGGGATTATTCTCTCAGGGTAGCTTGAGTCCCCATGCCTAATCAAGTTCATAGTCAAAGATTCTTCTAGGAGTTCTTGGGCCTGCAGGTATTTCCATGATCATTACAAAAGTACTTATTTTTTAATTAAAAAGTTGTCTATAATGTGCCTTATAGAGAATTTTTTTTTCAAAAACAAAATTAAACTCTGGGGTTCAATAAAGGTAACATATTCCAGGACGCTTCTAATGCCCTGAAGGAAAATGAGGATATTTACTACATTTGACAAAGGCTGGACTGGCTGAGTTCAAAGAAAATGCTCTACCAAAAACTCCCCCAGGGATCACCCCTCTCTCCCCCGTTGAGCAGAGCCCCCTTCCTGCATTCTTGGGTTATTTATAATGCCTGGAGTTAAGAATGACCAACCCCAATGTTCACAGCAGCACTATTTACAACAGTTAAGACATGGAAACAACCTAAATGTCTACTGACAGATGACTGGATTAAAGACGATGTAGTATATGTATACAATGGAATACTACTCAGCCATAAAACAGAATGAAATGACATTTGCAACAATATGGATGGCCTAGAGATTATCATAATAAGTGAAGTCAGACAGAGAAAGGCAGTATCATATAATATCACTTATGTGGGGAATCTAAAACCATGATACAAATGAACTTATTTACAAAACAGAAACAGACTCACAGGCATAGAAAACAAACATGGTTTTCAAAGAAGAAAGTTGGGGAGAGGGATAAAATAGAAATTTGGGATTAAGAGATACATACCATTATATATGAAACAGATAAACAACAAGTACCTACTATATAGCACAGTGAACTATATTCAATATCTCTTAATAATCTATAATGGAAAAGAATGTGAAAAAGAATATAAAATATATATAACCTAATTACTTAATTGTATACCTAGAACACTGTAAATCAACTATACATCAATTTTTAAAATCTACAAATAATGAGAGTCAATTGTACAACATCTACCAGGTAGTTATTTGTAAGTCAAATATTGGGTTTACATAATAAACATTTTACAGATTAAAAAA